AAGGGGAAGAGACAAAGTGAAGTGGCGTTGGTTTTTTCCTTCATTTATTTGTTCTTTTTTTCCATTTTTTGGGCAAAAATTTATTTGTCCAAGCACTATTCTGTGCCAGGTGCTGTGCTTAAATCTGGAGATATAGTGATGAACTGAAAAAAATACTATTAGTGGCCTCGTGGGACTTACAGTCCAAAGTGTCTTCCCTGAAGTTGTCACAGTTAGTTATATTTCACAGTTATCTGTTGTTATGTGACAAACCGCCCCAAAACTGAGACATGCAAATCAATACCTTATGATGCTCTCAGTTTTGTGGGCCAGGAATTTGGGTATGGCACAAAGGGGTAGCTCAGCTCTGCTCCAAAGTGCCATGGGTCTCACCTGGGATGACATCAGTGGTTGAGATGGACAGTGCCATGTCTAGGGCCTTGGTTAGGGCAGATGTCTGGATCCCTTGCCTCTTCTTTGCATGGTGTCTTCTGGGATTGGAATGTTCCAGGTGGCTTTTTCACCTCACATATCTGGCACCTGGGTTAGATGGTGAGACAGTTGAGGATGTCTGGGCATCTCTCTGCCTTCATGTGGTCTGTGAGCGTGGGCTCCCCTCAAAGCATGGTAGTCTGAGGTTACTCCGACTTTTATGGCAGCCTCTCCCTGAGGGAGTGGTCCAAGAGTTACGGCCATATGCAGCCAGGCCTGTTATACCTAGCCTCAGAAATCCCAGAGTACCACTGCTGCCACCTACGACTGCCATGTCACTGAGGCCAGCCAGACTCGGGAAGGATTTAGATCCTATTTCTCAATAGAAGGGCTAGCATAAAACTTGAGATTATCTTTAATCTACCATAGAGGGAGGCAGACATTCAAGAAATAATCACACAAATAACTATGGCAAGAAAGGAAAAGCACAGGCCTCTTCGTAGTCATTAGAACTTCCTGGTTGGCAGTGACAGAAACCTAACCTAGAGAGACTAAAGAGAAGAAGGGAATTTGTTGACCCACTGAACTAAAAAGTGCAAAGCTGAATGCCATGCAGCAACGTTGTGGTCAAGAACCTCTTTCCCTGTCTCTCGGCTCTACTTGCCTCTTTACTTTGTTGGTTGTATTCTCAGGCAGGGGCTCCTTGAATGATGACTACAAAGGCCACCAACGGCTCCATGTTTCTGACAGTTTATTAATTCCGATTGAAAAAAGAGAGCCTATTTATCTTTGTTTCAATAGTTCTATCAAATAGTTCTGAGATCAAACCTGTTGGCCTGCATTTGGGTCATGTGCCCTCTACTGAACCAACCACTGTTGCTGGAGGAACACAATGCTTGGATTGGCGGGCCTGGAACTTGTGCCCTTGTGCCTCTGTGACGTGGGAGTGGAATCAGCCCCAAAGCAACCATACATGGGGATGCGTGTTTCCACAAAAGGGAAAGAGAGCTGCTTTTATTAGAAGAAAAGGGCAATAGATGCTAACCAGACAAAAACATGTAATACCCATTTCACAAGCCTGACACAGGGTGACCTGCCTTGAAGATTAGGGCCATGTATAGAAACAAGTGGAGAGGGGCATTCCTCCCTGATGTCATTACTTATTCACCTTGCATTCATTAAGTTTCCACTGTGTCTGCAGCCTTGGACAAGATGTAACTCGGGATACAAATGGAATAGACAGATGAATGGTGCAGGGGTTCGCTGGATGTGGGGGCTGGCCACCAGGTGGCAGCAGCACATGCAAGCTTCACTGGGCAACGCTTTGACTGCCCAGAGGCGTAGGGTTCACGCTCATAAAGGGGAAGACATAGATGTCAAGTGGCCACCATTTCTGCCCTCAGATTGGCTGCTCCAATGGGGCAGGGCACGATATGAAACATTAAGGCACTTCTGCTTTCAGATCCCGGAATCTATTTGGCTGTTTCTAACTATCTCCACTGGAGAACAGGAATTCAGGGTAGGCAGGAATCAGGCCCCATACTTACAGTTCACCTTTCTCTGTTTTAGCCAAGCTCCTCCCCCAACTCAGGGAAGGATTGTAGAGCCTTCCTCTGCAGGCAGACATTGCTCTGATGTCATATTCTCTATTCTCCCTCCTCTCTGGTTTGATTCTCCATGATTCAAAATCATCTTCTATTTATTTATTTATTATTTATTTTTAGTGCTGCTTCAAGGATTTGCAGTATACCTCTTTAACTTAACACAGCCTTCAAATGGTATTATACCATTTTAGGTATTAATATAGTATTTGACTCTGAGGACAGTATACTTCCATGTGCTCTTCCTTATTCTTTGTGCTGCTATTGTCATATATTTTACAACTATGTATGTTGTCAGCCCACAGGTACATTATTTTTTGCTTTAAAGCATCAATTATCTTTTAAATGAATTAAAAGATGAGAAAGAAAATATGTTTATTGTGCTCATATATTTCCCTGTGCAAGCATTCTTTTTTCATTTTTGTGAAAAGAAGTGTCCACCTAATGTCATTTTCCTTCTGCCTAAAGAAATTCCTTTAACATTTCTTTTAGTGGAAGTCTGCTGGTGATGCATTCTTTCAGCTTTGTAGTACTTTCAAAATATCATTTCTTTATCTTCCAGGTTGTGTAGATTCTGATGATAAGTCTGATATCATTCTTTGTTTCCTTTACATGTAACGTGTCTTTTTTCTCTGGCTGAGTTTAAGAGTTTTCTCTTTCTAACTGTGTATATGTGTGTTTGTTTGTTTAGTAACTTGATTATAATATGCCTTGGTGTAGTTTTCTTTGTGTTCATTATGTTTAGAGTTTATTAAGATTCTTGGATTTGTGGGTTTATAGTTTTATCAAATTTGGAAAAAAATTGTCCATTTTATTCCTTCAAATATTGTTTGTTTCCTTGTGATTCCCCCCAAACTCCAACCACATGTATGTTAGCTTTATAGCCTTACATTGTTGCCAAGGCTCTGTTAATTCATTTTGGATAGTTTTATTGCTATGATTTCATGTTCCCTAATCTTTTTGTCTGTGTTGTCTAGTGTCTAGTTTATTAATCTCATCCAATGAAAATTTCATTTCAGATACTTTATTTTTTTATCCCTAGAAGTTCCATTTAGTTCTGATTTAAATATTCTATTTTCTCCTCATTATATTCATGTTTTATTTTACAACCTTGAATAAGCAAAACATATTTTTAATAGCTGTCTTAATAGCCATGTTGGCTAATACTACACTTCTGTTATTTCTGGTTTTGTTTCTAGATACTGATTTTTCTCCAGGCTATTAGTCACATTTTCTTGCTTCTTTGTATGTCTGGAAATTTTTTATAGAATTCTAAGCATTATGAATTTTACATTTTGAGTACTAGATTTTCTTATATTTCTATAAAAATGGTCAATGTTTTTCTGGCAGTTATTTTAGTCACTTACAGATCAGTTCAATTCTTTCAAGGTTTACTTTCAAGCTTTTTATGGATGGGTCTAGAGTACCCTTTATTCTAAGGATCATTTTTAGCTTCACTTCTAAAGCCTGGCCCTTCTGGAGTCTCTAATGAATGTGTCCTGTGGTCCAACCAAGTCCCTCCATGCTGACTGGAGAGCATGCCAACCATTGTGGCCCCATGTGATCTCTTGGAATTATTTGGCTTACAGCTCCCCAGTAACCGTTCTCTCCTGGAAGTTGTTTTCTGGCCTGGTCATGTATTTATCCTACCCATACACAGGATTGATATTCAGCCAACAACTCAAGGGAGATGCCTTTGCAGATTTCTGGAGATCTCTGTATAGCTCCCTGCTCTTTAGTACTCTGTCCTGCAAATTGCAGCTAACTTAGCCTTCCTGATTACCAGCTCCTCAATTCAACATTCTTGCTGGGCTCTCTTTGAATTCCTCTTCCCTGTGCTGGAGTTTGGAAATTCTCTCCTTGCAGAATGCATGGAAATGACATGACTCAACTTGCCTTTTCCCCCATTCTCAAGGATTACGGTCCCTTGCTGCTCAATGTCTAAATTGTTCCATGTCTAAAAGTAGTTGTTTCTAAAACATCGTCCAGATTTCTAATTATTTACAGCAAAAGGGTATTCTGGACCCCTTCCCTTCCTCATGGCCAGACATAGAAGTCCCCAAAGCCACTCTGCTTTATGCCAGTTTTTTGATAATTACTTTTCTTCTCATAATTGTGATTAATGCAGTGGCTTTACCAAGAATGCTTGAGATTTACTTATTTTGGGATTGGAAGGATAGATTTACCTGAAAATGATAGAAATTCCATAATGAAATGAATGTTAATTCAAGAAAATATAAGGAACTAATTCAACAATATTTATTGAGCACCTTCTATCTGCTAGATACTGTTCTAGGTGTTGGGGATACAATAGTAAACGAAGAGATAAAAAAAAAAAACCCACCTCTGCTCTGATAAAGTGTATTATAGAGAAAACAGAGAAAGGGGCAACCAGAATAATAAATAAGTAAACTCTTCAAATCTATAACATGTCAGATGGTAAGTGCTATGGAAATTATAGAGAAATAATAATCCTCCCAGCCCACATGTGGCACTGATTAGAAAACATGGCCACTGTCCTTTTGTAAATGTTAATGACAGAGGCCATCTGCTTAGAGATAAAATAGCCAACTATATTACCATAAATGTAAATCTAGTCTAGGGCTGTCCCCTTATGCCCTGGTAATCTCTGTAGTTTATAAACACTCACCACAAATTCATCTTCATCTATCTATTTGCTAACTTGTTCTTTTGTCTTAGTTTCCCCAACAGGACTGGGTGCTCCATGAGAGTAGGTACCATGTCTGATTTTGCTCACGAGTGTGTCTGCAAGCACTTCATACAGGCTTGGCATTTGAATGGTGTTCAGTAAATATTCATTCATTAAAAACATTTGCAGAAGGGATTCATGGGTGTGTCAGGTTCTTGATACCTGCCTGGTGTATACCTTGTTTGTGCACCCTCATGTTTCCCTTTAAAATTGCTAGTCAATTTCTCTTTGAAAGTTACAAGGCACAATTCCACTTTTCCTTCTTTCTCTTTTCACAGCGGTGCAATCATTGCACACCCTTAATGACCAGATTTCCCATTTTATTGTCACCAAGTCGAGGGCCCTGGAGGAGGACAAAGACCCTTTCCTGCCCACTGAGAAGGAGACACTGAAGAGTTCCATGATACTGATGAGACACCTCTTAATGGATGCTCAGGTACAGAGATCAGTAAAGAAAGCCTATATAGATTCTGTGGAAGCTTTTCTTTTATTATTTATTTATTTATTTTTGGTATAAGCTGTCCAAAAATGTTCAACTACCATGCCTATTGAACAGATGTTCTAAGACGATATACTGAGTATTGGATTTCTGATTTGGTCTTGTTTGGGATTTAGTATCAAAATAGCTTGCTTTTAAGTCAAAGTAATAGGGCTTAAAAATAATATATGTGTTGTCTTTGAGCATTTAACAGATCTCCCATTAGCCTTGGAAAAGTGAAAATCCATTTACATACAAATTTGGCAGGCAACAGAGCTGGCAAAGGCTTCGGAATGGAGCAAATACTTACCCCAAACAGCATCACTGAGTAACTAATGAATATTTTGGTGCATTTGATGTACCATCCAGTAAGTGAATCAGCACTGGCTTGCTAGCACTGAATGATTGCAGAAGGTATTTAGCTCATTGCATGCTATTGTTGAGATGTTATTCCTCAAGGCCTCTCCTTATACACTATTTTATTGAAATATTTAAAAATAATCTACTCCTTCTGGTTTTGTTGGTGGGTGTCTTCAGATATGTTGATAGACAAACACCAGGTGTTTTAAGAGAATTGATAGTTTTCTATGGTAGGGAAGCCAAGTTGAACTAAATTTTATTGTCATTCTTACCTCTTCAGTATCTCGACATGTTTCAAGAAATGTTGTTTGGGTTTGCTGATTTTTGTGTTCGTTTGCCCTGAACCTTTTTTCCTGAGCTTGTTTTCTATTTAACAACAGTGAAGTCAGAGTGGTTGGTGGTTTCCTGCAATCTGTTTTGTATCAGAGATTTGAACTGTGGTTTCTTTGCTTTTGTTTCTACCTTGGTGGTGGTTTATGTTTTAGCTTTTAAATCAATCCCGAAGCCTGGATCTTGTACCAATATGACTTTAACTGGCAACGCTTTTGTGCCTTGCTCACCTGTCAATGTTTGAAGCCACCCCATGGGATTTTTGAGGCCCTGTGCTGAGATGGCCCGAATTATGCAAAGCCTTTCATTTTTATGCACGGTTCTCCTTCCCCCTTTATTATGAACAGCCCATTCAGCTTCTCTGTTCTCCCCAAGCCCATCTGGTGGAAAAAGGAAGGATTCTGAAGCTACAACAGCCAATTTTAAAACTCAGAAAAAAGGGAAATTTAGGACAATTTACTAAATAAAAGGGAGCAAATTGTTCTTGAAAGGATTAGCTTTCCTCAATGCCGGGACCCAACCCTGTAGCTAACACCCCAGCCAAAGGAACTATTCTAAATGAATCCCCAAAGATACTGCGTAAACTCCAGTTTGCAAAACCTAAGGTAACAAAAAATCATTCGTCTTTTTCCACTCATTCACATCTGAGCATACTAGGGCCCAGAACTGGATCTTAAAAATGTTTAACATTATTTAAGGAAATATTTTCTCCCCATCAATGCCGATTTCATCCTGAATGGTGTTGATAACAATTTTTCCCTTTTATATTTAATAGGACTAAAATGTCCCATATGACGTGATTATTGGGTAGGAATATTTTATTATCTTATTCTTTCCTGACCCCAAATTGATGCCTGCTAGAATGTTTTCACTTAACTAGCCAGATAAAATGGAGCAGAATATGGTAGATATTATCCTAAATATATTAATTATATATTATCTATAATATCTATCTATCTATCTATACTATTTGTATGTACCCTAATATACTAAAAAGGAGGTGGATTGGTTCTTCTTGCTGAGTGTGGAAAAATCACAGAAAGTCAAGTAGGAACACCATGTGGTGTCTGGAAACACTATTGTTTCTTTTGTCTCCTAACATGCAAGGATTCCTTGCCCCTGTCTTTTAGATGAATAAAAGATGAAATGGGTTGTGATGAGTTTAGTCTAAAAATACCACCCTAATTTCTTTTCTTCCCAAACCACTAACTTTTTGAGACATTATCGTGGTCGTGATCCTAGTCCATTGCTAAAGTCAATTAGAATCATGTTACCTAATACCTCACTATGTGTGATCATACCCCTTCAGATTAGTAAAATGCTAAGGAACCCTAATATTTGGGGGATGGCCAGAGGTGACATGTGATTTTGAGTTTTGAAGTAGACATCTAAAAATGTGTTATTTTAAATAAGAATCTTTATTTAAAGAGCTTTTTTGGGGGGAAATTCACTTATTTTCCATCCATTTTTAACACTGCATCTTACCTCAATTCCAAAGAGGAATGAATGTACTTATTTCGTATTCCAAGTCCATCAACAGTGGGAGGCCAATAGAGTGTAAATATAACTTACATGCACATCCTTCCGTTTGGTCTGCTTTTTATGATATTAATAGATGTCCTATAGGTTTGTGTGTTATAGGACATAAGCTCTGCAAGGGTAGTAACCACATCCCTTGACTTGGCTGGTATAATAGCCCTCTCAGTTCCATATACAAAGGGCCCTTAATAGTATTAGATTATGATGAAATACTCTGACATCAGCTTACAAGTTGAATGAAGTCAGGCAAAAAGTATTCCAGAGAATCTGGAGGTTGCTTGAGAGTAACTGTTTAAAAGGCATAATCGATTCAAGTCACATCTGTCTTGGAAGCAATAAATCCTGCTTAGGGGAATGTCAAAGGCAAAACCATTGCTGGACTATGAAATTCTACCTCTGAGGATTATAAAACAATGTGCACAGAGCAAACACATCTCCCAAGTATAATGGGGCAGCCAGAGATGATTGGCAGGCCTGACAATCCATCCCGGAGAATGGAATCATGCCGGGAGCCCCTCACATGGGCAGCCCAGAGGGCCAGCAATTATTTATTCATCCCCTAAATGTTTCCACCGTGGGGGTGTCTGAAAGAGCCTAGCACTTCTATTTGCATTCCATTCCCTTTCTAGTTTGCAGGCCCCCAAATTCAATGACGTTTACCATTCAGATCGCATTTGAAACCTGATCTTGTGGCTTTTATTCCTAAGAGCTCTGTCTAAATCCAAACTGCCGACTCAGCCTCCTAAGTGATTAGATTCATAACACCGAAGAGGCAATTCTTTCTGGTAGAGATTAATTATTTTACTGTGTGACTCCGCATGCTAAGAGGGGTTGATTATGGCAAATTAAATCTCCTATTGGCAGTTCTCTCCCTCTTCCCCCCAAAGACTTCATATCATTATTTATTAAGAGAAGACAAATGCTTGGGAAAACAATATGATCGCTTTGTTGGCAGGAGGTCCTCCTCTTGAAGGCTGAGTACTAAAGGGCAGAGAACTTTCTGCGCACCTAGGGGTCTCCTTCTGCTGCCCATCCAATGCAGAGTGGCTGAGGAAGGAGCCTGGGTTCCACTGACCTATGGCCACTCCCCAGGCCTGGACAGTGAGGGGGTGTCTTCTCTGCCTGCAACTTGGCTTGTGCTAGGACTCAAAGGTGGAGCTTGTTTGGAGTGAGGCTAAGTGTACCCTTCTGTAGTTCCATCTCTAGGAATGAAGTAAGTAAACCTTTCAAAATAAAAATAAACCCCACAATTGTCATCTCTAAGCAATTCTGTGCTGTAGGCCTCACAAAGTCAAACGTTAGGCAGAAAGGAAACAAAATATGCTTTATCCTTTAAACTCTCCCTTTTCCCTGCTTTTCCTTCTGTCCCTTTTCTCTTTGCTTTCCTTTGTCTTCTCTTTGCCCCTTCCTCCTCCCTACCCTACCCGGCATTCCTCCTCCTTCCCTCCTACTTTCTCTTTTCTTTCTCAACTTTGTACCTCTCCTTCGTCCCCTGCCTCCTCTTCTTTTGGTTGGTGAAATAGATCTTAGCTGAGATGTGGAATTACATTCTGCCTTTTTTATTCCCTTCTCTTCCTTCTCTTTTCTCATCTGTTATTTGTGTTCAGGGAACTTGAAAGCACATGTGCCAAAAGCCCATGTTCCCCTTGCCAACTGAGAGCGGAAGCAGCAGCAGGAGGCAGACCTGGCACTCGGGAGGCAGATTGGGGGCCCTGCCAGGACCAGAGACTGAATATGATTTGGGTGGCTTCATTTTTCTTTTCTCTCTTAAAAGAATGGTCTAGCAAACTCTCATTATGGACGCTTGTGCTTTCTGATTGGTCTCTGGCGAAATCAGGCCCATTGCATAAATAGATCAGCTATTTGAGCTGTCTGGACATTTACTGGCCTCAAACGAGGAAATGTGGTTTGGACCAGAGGGACCCTTGGCACAGGCTCCTGACACATAGATAGGGAGTGTTGGCTCTGCAAAGTCGATGTCACCTTGTACCGGGAAGGGCCCCTTGGGAACTGGGTGGTTCATACATATTACAGAGGTACACTTGAATTTGATTCTCCCGTTGCTAGCATTTTCTATTCCCCAGATGCTTTCTGAAGTCAATACCATGGTCAAGGCAGGACCCTGTGGTTATTACCAAGGCAGCTATCTGGAGCATTCTAGCTGCAGCTGCCTTCACGGTTGTGCCCATCAGTGTGATATTCTCTGTTAGCCCCAGAGGATACTTTGCCCTCACTTTGTACAAACCGAGGCACCAGAAGGATCCTTCTTGCCTTAAGGAGGTCACAGACACTGGCTGCAGCTATGGGTAGCACACCAAGTGTGGGCTTTTCTTATCATCTTCTGAGATGTGACACCATGAGGAAGGAAGGACTAGAACTCTCTCCTCAGGTTGAGAGAGCAGGGAAGAAACTCTGACATGAAAACGAGGACAAACAGGCAAAGCTTTCAAAATCCTAAGAAAATTACCCTGGGATGTTTTTAAGTCTCTTCATCCCATCAGATTTCCACCTTTTAAAGGTTAAAGGAGAAGTATTTAAACAGATGCGGAAGAATTTAGTTCACCTAACTAAAAAGCTACAACGATAAGCTGATTATTCAAAGGAGTCTTAGCTCATCCCCTCCAGTAATCCATGTGCTTCATTAGACATCCTTTTTCTGTGTGTCTGAAAAAACAATGCTCATTTTCCATTTTCAGATGCAAAACTATAAAATCAGCAAGTCTGAAGCT